ATGAGCAATCATAGAAGTTGTTGATTGTCGACCAAAGGCTGAGTAACTTAAGAGGGTGTTTGTTTCAGGTATAAGGGTGGTATAAGAAAAATAGTACGTGGGGGCCTACCTTATACCTTGTTTGTTTGACATTTTTTACTTGATATTAATTTTCGAGTCACAGTACTGACCCGGTGTGAACAGTAACTCTTCTGTCTTGTATATGATGCTAAGCAATACCACCTACCCGATGGTATAAATTTCATGGAGGTATAATAGAGTAAAAAGACCCAAATATCCTCATGTACAATGCCCCATATAAAAGGCAGTTGCAAATTTTGACTTTTTTTAAGGTTACAATTGTCTTTTTACATTGAGTAGTTGTAATTTTTGACNTAATACGAATGACTGTTAAACTATTGAAAGGACACAAGAAATGGCCTTTTTGAAGGGATCGATGCAAAGCCATTAATGAAAAAAATATGATTACAAATAGGGAATGCTTCCCCCGTGTGCCACGTGGAGAACATTCTCTAGGGGCTAGTGAAGAGAGTCAGAACTTTTGACCTATGATATGACAACCATACTAAGTCNACAAACAATGGAAATGATGAGATTATAGTTGCAGACTGGGTATAATATACCATTGGATCGGAGTAGAATGGATATAAAATCTTATTCCATCTAAATCTTATACCTCAAACAAACAGGCCCTAAAGGGTAACCTTAGAGGTTGCATGGAGGTGAAGTAGCCTAAAGGGCAACTGTAGAGGTTGACTGGAGGAGAAATAGACTAAACCTTTGCATGCGGTAGGAAATATTGTGTCTTGGTGAGTGCTTGCTTCGACTCTGATTATTAGTCGAATAGCTCCTTGTAGTGACCTACTCCCATGTTGGGAAGAATGAGCAGCCTCCTCCTAGTGATCATCACAATGGGCCAAACTCACAGGTTGGATGTTTTCCTATTTGGCGAAGAATCCCTTGGTTGGTCACGAGTCCAACTTGAGGTAGCCATCCCTTAGGCAATTAGGTGTCATGCTCCAAAAAATCTTCTAAATTGGAGGGAGTAATGGTATTGTGTGTTGATAAAATGGAAATAATGATGTTTAAGTTACAAATTTTATTGTCACAGGATTTATAGGACAACTTGAAGGTTGGTGGGATAATTGTTTATATTCATCTCAGCAACAAGAAATTATAAATTCAACAAAAATTGTTTCAATTTAGGATGAACAAATTGTTTCAAACAAGAATATGTCTTGAATGCAGTTTAGACACTGGTCCAATCAATAATTCTGCATTTTATTGGAAGTAATATTCAAAATACCGATAAAAGTAAAGAACTCCTCATGGATCTTAGGTTTCCTACACTTACTCATTTTAAGTGGTATAAGGGCATCTATCTCTCCAAAGTCATGATGAGATATGATGCTAATAGTAACTTTTGAAAAGAAAAATTCATTTCAAGTCTTCCTTATTTGTTTGCGGACAAAGTGAGAATAAGATTTAGAAATAAAAATGGAGGAATGATTATTCCTTGGAATTAATACACCTATGGTGAATTAGTCAGCGAATGCAACAATGAAGGTTTGACTTTATACAATGATCTTAACCTTAAAATCCAACTTAAAAGACAACACGTAATAAGAAGAAAAAAGTTAAGTGAATTTTGTGATAATTTTCTTATCATCTTGATCCAAGTCCTTATACAAAAATTAAGTCTAGAAAGATTAAAAAAATACTCCAAATTTAGTAGGAGAAAGAAAAAGAGAAATTATGCGGACAATGTTTATTTTTATATAAAGAAAATCTTTTCAAAAGAAGGCACAACAAAACTATTATAAGGCTATTCTTGACACGAATGGATTAAGCATAAATGTTCTTTCAAAAAATCAATCATTGATTTTTGATCTAATTGATCAAATTACAGATCCAAAAGCTAAAAGACAAGTTATTGAAAAATATTTAGAAATTTCTAAAGAGAAACAATCAAAAAGAAAATTTGAAAAGTATTCTTTGATTAAACCATTTTCTTTACAAGAGATTTTAAATCAATTTAATTTTGTATCTTCTTCAAAGAAAGAGACCACAATTAATGATCGTAAGTACGAGATCAATCAATTAAAATCTGAAACTAGAGATCTTAAAAGAAGAATATCTTCTCTTGAGAATTCTGCACAATCTCAAACTGAAGATCCATAAATTTCAGGAGAATTTTTCATGGCCAAATTACATACCAAAAATGGCATATTGAAATTACATTGGTAATCAACCAAGAATATGTTATCAAAACTATTGCACTAATTGATAGTAATGCTTATATGCATTGCATTAAAGAAGGATTGATTCTTACTCAATATTTTTGAAAAAACTACTCAAACTTGGAATACTGGTGATAGTTCAAAAATGAACATCAGATATAAATTAACTAATGTTTATATCTACACTTGAGTGACGTGTAGTTCCACATCTTTTATTCTAATTAAAAATCTAAATCAGAATGTAATTTTGGGTACTCTATTTTTTGCTTTTATTGAACCAATTACAATTGATTCTAAATTAACCATTGCTTTTCTAAATAATTAGTAAATTATTTTTGAGTTTATTACTAAACAAAAAACAAAGATTTTGAATCAAATCAAATAAAATTTCATTTTCAAAGAAAAATAAATTAATTTTATTCAGCAAGAAGTCAAAATTAAGACTATTGCAAATCAATTAGAAAATCTTAAATTTCAGGATAATCTAAAAAATTTATAAGAACAAATTGTTTCTTGAAATATACAGCATCGTTCCTAATGCATTTTGGGAAAGGAAAAAGCATATTGTATTTCTTGCATTATGAAAAAGACTTTAATGAGAAAAATATTCCCACTAATGCAAGACTAACTCAAATTAATAAAAATTATTTGGAACTCTATAAATAAGAGATCCAATAGTTATTGTAAAAATCTTCAATCAGAAAGAGACATTCTCCTTGGAATAGTGCAAGTTTTTATGTAAATAAAAATACTTAAAAAAAAAAGGGAATACCTCATCTTGTTATTAATTACAAACCCTTAAAGAAGGTTTTACAATGGATAAGATATCCAATTCCAAATAAAAAAGATTTATTAGCTCAAATACATGATGTTATAATCTTTTCTAAATTTGATTTATAATCTAAATTTTGGCAAATTCAAATTGCAGAAATTGATCAGTATAAGACTGCATTCACAATTCATTTTGGATATTATGAATGAAATATTATGTCGTTTGGATTGAAAAATGCTCCATCCAAGTTTCAAAATAGCATGAATGAGATATTCACTCCTTATACTGCTTTTTCTATCGTCTATATTGATGATCTTCTTATCTTTTCGAAATCCATTGATCAACATTTTAGACATTTGAATATTTTTATTCAAGTGGTAAAAAGAAATGGATTAGTGGTTTCAGCCACAAAAATGAAACTTTTACAAACAAATATTATTTTTTATTGGACATAATATTCTCAAGTAAAATCCGGAAAAAATTGTTGAAACTGATGCCTCTAATAAAGGTTATGGAGTACTTCTTAAACAAAAGAATCCTCATTCCAATTGCGAAGAATTTGTACGATTTTCATTATGGTGTTTGGAAAAATGCCCAATTAACTTATTCTACAATAAAGAAAGATATTCTTTATGTTGTTAAATGTATTAATAAGTGCCAAGAGAAATTATAAAATTTAAAAAAAAATTATTAAGAATTGATTGTAGTGTCGCAAAAAAAGTTTTAGAAAAAGATGTCAAGAATTTAATATCAAAACAATTATTTGAAAGGTGTCAAGCCATCCTTTCTATTTATGATTTCAAGATTGAGTATAACAAAGATGAATTAAATTCTCTTCTTGACTTCCTAACAAGGGAAATTTTGCAAGGCTCCAATGAGTGCCAAAAGAGGATGAGGCAGAGGAACTAATAGTTCCCAATCTAAATCCAAAGGAAGGGGAATTGTCCTCTTTGTAATAAACCATTTCCAACGCTGAGTTTAGCTCAATTTGGCTCTAATGCTTCTTCTTCACGGGCAACGCCTAACAATCAAAAATGGACTTCTACTAAATGGAAGAAGTCTGCCTAGGAGGGTCTCTTAGAAAAACTCGATCTAATGGTTGATTATTTTGAAAATCCTTATACTAATATTATTTTATACCTGAAAAGTACACAGGTTTAATGAATGAAAGATCATTTCTACTTAGTAAAACATATTTTTGACCATGATCAGTTCCTTATTAAAGGAAAAAAGTATCGTAATCGAATTTATTATGAAAAGATTCTATATGAAACCAAATCAATCAAAGTCGCTCATAATGTTCTCAATGAGGATCATTATACTGGTTATGATAAAGTAAGAATTATGTGTGTCATACACACTTCTGATTAGGGAACAAACCCCATCAATTTCTGAAATTTGAAAACCAAACATGGACTAGGAGAAGAATATAATTATTGGGATTATATGGATGCATGGGAGAATGCATTCCTTTATCAAAATACAATCAAAAAATATTCTTGGTTTTTCTTCTTCTCCTTACAGAATAATTATACCATTAAGAACCTGCCAAATTGGTTTCACAAATGGATGAAAAGACATGGACCAACTTCTCAATATTTGGTTGACTTTCCTGTTTCTCATCATGATAAATTCAAAAAACTCAATCCTTAATTGAGAAATGGTGAACGACAAATGCTCCTTAATTATCTTGCTAGATTCGAGATTCACTGGGTTTGGAATGGACTTATGATTGTAATTATGATTTCTACAATATTCCATGTTTAATTCGATGTTATTATTATAAATGGTGGAAAAACCTTCTACAAGATCAATTGAAAAAAAAATGTCAAGAAATTAACACTGCTTTTGAAAATTGGAAAAATGAATCCCAACATGTTCCAAAAAATTTGAATCCTATTCAAAATTTTTTCCAAATTCTCCAAGAACAAATAAAGAAATTGAATCAAGCATTGACTACACAAAAGCTTAAGAGTCATATGATGGAAATGATGCAAAATCAGTTAATTGCATCTTCTAAGGGGGATAATAAGCCACAAATTCCTCAAATCACAGCTGGACCAACAAGACATCAATTTCACTCTTCTTCATCTAAAGAAAAGAAAATTAAAGAAGATGATCAGGATGATTCCCAGGATCCAATGGATTTTAATGACAATGAGGACATGGAAATGCATCTTGGAGCATTCCATAATTTAGAAGGCTTGGACTTTGAAATGTCTGATTTAATGAACATTAATCAAATTAATCATGGCAAAAAGAAGAAATAATTAATGGATCTTTCTAGTCTTAATTGAAGAATGTGTCATCCGTAATGTATCTCCTTTGAAGATCAAGTAGAAGAATAATTGCTCTAGCAACACCAACAGCCACATCTAAGTCTTCTATGAATGAATTGCTAGCATGAATATCCCTCCATCTAGCTTTTAGTTGCTGCTACCAGAGAGGGACCCCCTACATATTTTCCAATTCCCTCTCAACAGCAGGGGTACCAACCGACATCTTTCTTTTCTTGTAACATGTTTTCTCCAAACAAGTTCAATTATAAAAGTAGAGTCATCAACATAGTCCTTAGGCTCTTGTAGCTCAACTTACTCAAGGGAAGGTACAATAACTATTTTTTTTGGGATTTCTCCCAGAATTGTTAAAATAGGGGTGAGCTCGGAGCCCAAAGTTTCAACAAAAGAATTCAAAATTGGAGTAGCCTCTGGTATTGCTCCAAAGCCCAAGGCTTCCCCAGGATTGGGGTTTAGGACCAAATCAATGAAATTGGTTGCAACCCTTCCTCTTCCCATTCCTTTTCTTCTGGGGCTTCTTAGGGGATTAGATGATGGTGCTTCCAAAGCTCGAGCAGCTCTGCACCCTTTAAGTAGTTGAGAGGTAATAGAAGGAACATTAGTATAGGAATGGTAAGTCAGCTCATACCCCAATAAGACGTGAGCGGCTCAACACCATATATTATTTACCCTAAATAACTAGAACTTTCTTAGATCATCAAAGTTCACCTTGGATTCAAGAACTTTTCGCTTAAAAGTTTCTCTTACAAAAAGATCTAGACATTAGAGGAAGCAAGAATCAAACGAAAAAATAGAAGCTAAAAGCAAAACAGGATAGGGCCCCGATGAAAATCACCCGGGATAGCCTCTTAATACAGACAATTGTAGCGAGGTTCCTCGCCTACTCGATGTTCCTAGTTACCAAATATAAACATGACATCATTTTTATAGCCCTTATTTGAATCAAGAAGATGAGTGACTAAGTAAAAATTTGTTCTCCTAACCCTAAGGTAGTAGTTCTTTTTTGAAGTGGTTGTAATGAGATAGCAATATTCCAAAGGCTCAGATTGGTTCCTAGAATGTCATTCAAAGCCACGACCCCTATTACTATTTGGAAAAAATTGGAACAACATTGAATTGGGTAAATCTTCAATGCATGAAGCACCCATAGAAAAAAAGGGTGGAGTTGAAACTGAGCCCCACCCTTCATAATGGTCCTAGTGGGGATGGGAATTGATTTCCTAGAAGCAATTATGGGTTTATTTTTTGTGATCCTAATGACTACATCATCTGGAATAGAATATCTAGACCTGAAATCTGGAATTTTCTCTTCCCTTATGGAGCCATAAAGAAAAAAAAAAGAATATCGGAAGGGATTGAAGCAAAGAAGAAGAACAAGAAATGACTTAGAAATTCAGAAGAGTGGAGTACCTAAAGGTTTCAAAAATTATGGTGAAAATGTAAAAGTGAAGAAGAAGACGCTTTAATTAAAAGCGAAGATGACTTATTAATACGAATGACTGTTAAACTATTGAAAGGACACAAGAAATGGCCTTTTGAAGGGATTGATGCAAAGCCATTAATGAAAAAAATATGATTACAAATAGGGAATGCTTCCCCCGTGTGCCACGTGGAGAACATTCTCTGGGGGCTAGTGAAGAGAGTCAGAACTTTTGACCTATGATATGACAACCATACTAAGTCAAGTGACAGAGTTACGTCCTTGAAACAATTAAATAGATCAGTCATGACCGAACTCAATTAATTATGCTTAGTCAAACATGATAAGCTTGGCAGAGGCTCGGTACAATGTGCAAAGAGAAAAAGACCTAGTAAAGGCTAGAGTTCGAGTGAGGAGCAAGCCTAATCTGAAAAGGCAAATAATTCATTGAGCTGGCATCAGGAACATATTGGTGATCAAGTTATCCCTCAGAAATAGTATAAGACAATCAATCAAGGGATTGCCTAAATTAGAGGAGCACATTGGAAACACGTGATCTAAAAAGACGACAAATACGAAAAAAAGCTAGGAGAGGACCCAACAAATTAATTCGACTAACCTATAGGTGTGTCACCTAGTATAGCTAATGGTGAAAACCCTAATAGAAAAGGTGTCATGAGATACTACAAAAACTGAGTAATACTTAAGTCTAATCCCCTGTTTGGTTGGAGGGAAAATAGGGAGGATGAAAAATGGAGGAAGGGAAGTGGGAGGGAAGGAAAATCTTTCCATTGTTTGGTATGGAGGAAAAATGGGAGGGAATGGAAAATGGAAGGGAAATGCATTCCCTTATGGTCTGTTTGTTTTTATGGAAAATGGGGTGGATGGAAAATGGGATGGATGGAAAAACTTTCCATTGTTTGGTATGGAATGAAAGAGTGATGGAAAGGAAAATTGGAGGGAAGGCTTTTCCTTCCCACCCACAATTTATTTTTCCCCCAAAAATGGTGGAAAAGGAGAACAAGACAACAAAATTTGACCTTTAAATGATAATTTTACTATTTTACCCTTTGTTACCTTCTAATAAAACCCACTTCTAAATACATCAAACAAAACCCACTTCTTCTCCATGGCCAATGACAGACCCTTCTCAGACAACAGCAACCAGATGACGAACTCGATCAATGAAACCAACGATTTTCGGACTGGATTTTTGGCTACTTCAGACCAAAGTTGTCATCCTCCGGCAGGTTTGGTATGTTCCTTTTTTCATTTAACTTTATCCTGTAACTGTAAGACTAAGAATGTTTTCTTTCATCAAGGCCTCTTTTGGACTTGTGATATATATATGTGAAACATATTGGCTTATACAAGATGAAATTATACATATGGGTGTATATATGTGGGTATGTTTATATGCGTATTTGGATATGTAGGTCTTTCAAATGGGTTTTGTATCTCTTAAAGAAATTAACAAAAAAAAAATTTAAGAAATGAAATCAGGTAGAAGAAGATGAAAGAAGAATTTTAGGGCAAAAAAAAAAAAAGAAGAAGAAGAAGAGCATAACTTGAGCGTCAGATTGAAGAAGATGAAGTTGTTGGCTTAAATTCNAAATTTTAGGGCAAACCAAAAAAAAAAAAAAAGAGAAGAAGAAGAGCATAACTTGAGCGTCAGATTGAAGAAGATGAAGTTGTTGGCTTANGAATTTTAGGGCAAAAAAAAAAAAAGAAGAAGAAGAAGAGCATAACTTGAGCGTCAGATTGAAGAAGATGAAGTTGTTGGCTTAAATTCAGAATCTCCCCCCTTTAGTTTTAGATACAACACATACCTACTTAGTGAAATTATAAAGTTAAGTCCAAGGTTTTGTTAAGTTACAAAAAAACCATTTTTTGTGTTTCATGAGTAACAGATAAAAACTTGTTGAAATTACACAATGACCCCAGAAGATAATAAAACACTAAATCAGTATTTTTAATAGTTAAAAAATGTTTTTGAAATTGTATATTGACCCCAAATAGTTATGAGATTGTTTTAGAGATTATAAAATTACACCATATCGCTAGATAATGTGTTTAGAAATTATCTAAAGACCATGAAAGTTTCTAAAACTCAAAATANTTCTTTTTTATTGGACATAATATTCTCAAGGAAAATCCGGAAAAAATTGTTGAAACTGATGCCTCTAATAAAAGTTATGGAGTACTTCTTAAACAAAAGAATCCTCATTCCAATTGCGAAGAATTTGTACGATTTTCATTATGGTGTTTGGAAAAATGCCCAATTAACTTATTCTACAATAAAGAAAGATATTCTTTATGTTGTTANCAGAGGTTATCATAAATTGTTAGCTCTTTTGGAGTATATTCCTAGACGATATATATATTCTTGGTCTTCCATTTATATACCTTTTGTACCCTTTTAGTACAAATGAAGATGGAATATCAACCAAGCATTTTGGAAGAAAAATTGTATTTACATTTATTACCANTTTTATGTTGTTAAATGTATTAATAAGTGCCAAGAGAAATTATAAAATTTTAAAAAAAATTATTAAGAATTGATTGTAGTGTCGCAAAAAAAGTTTTAGAAAAAGATGTTAAGAATTTAATATCAAAACAATTATTTGAAAGGTGTCAAACCATCCTTTCTATTTATGATTTCAAGATTGAGTATAACAAAGATGAATTAAATTCTCTTCTTGACTTCCTAACAAGGGAAATTTTGCAAGGCTCCAATGAGTGCCAAAAGAGGATGAGGCAGAGGAACTAATAGTTCCCAATCTAAATCCAAAGGAAGGGGAATTGTCCCTCTTTGTAATATACCATTTTCAACGCTGAGTTTAGATCAATTTTGCTCTAATGCTTCTTCTTCACGGGCAACGCCTAACAATCAAAAATGGACTTCTACTAAATGGAAGAAATCTGCCTAGGAGAGTCTCTTAGAAAAACCCGATCTAATGGTTGATTATTTTGAAAATCCTTATACTAATATTATTTTATACCTGAAAAGTACACAGGTTTAATGAATGAAAGATCATTTCTACTTAGTAAAACATATTTTTGACCATGATCAGTTCCTTATTAAAGGAAAAAAGTATCATAATCGAATTTATTATGAAAAGATTCTATATGAAACCAAATCAATCAAAGTCGCTCATAATGTTCTCAATGAAGATCATTGTACTGGTTACGATAAAGTAAGAATTATGTGTGTCATACACGCTTCTGATTAGGGAACAAACCCCATCAATTTCTGAAATTTGAAAACCAAACATGGACTAGGAGAAGAATATAATTATTGGGATTATATGGATGCATGGGAGAATGCATTCCTTTATCAAAATACAATCAGAAAACATTTTTGGTTCTTCTTCTTCTCCTTACAGAATAATTATACCATTAAGAACCTGCCAAATTGGTTTCACAAATGGATGAAAAGACATGGACCAACTTCTCAATATTTGGTTGACTTTCCTGTTTCTCATCATGATAAATTCAAAAAACTCAATCCTTAATTGAGAAATGGTGAACGACAAATGCTCCTTAATTATCTTGCTAGATTCGAGATTCACTGAGTTTGGAATGGACTTATGATTGTAATTATGATTTCTACAATATTCCATGTTTAATTCGATGTTATTATTATAAATGGTGGAAAAACCTTCTACAAGATCAATTGAAAAAAAAATGTCAAGAAATTAACACTGCTTTTGAAAATTGGAAAAATGAATCCCAACATGTTCCAACAAATTTGAATCCTATTCAAAATTTTTTCCAGGTTCTCCAAGAACAAATAAAGAAATTGAATCTAGCATTGACTACACAAAAGCTTAAGAGTCATATGATGGAAATGATGCAAAATCAGTTAATTGCATCTTCTAAGGGGGATAATAAGCCACAAATTCCTCAAATCACAGCTGGACCAACAAGACATCAATTTCACTCTTCTTCATCTAAAGAAAAGAAAATTAAAGAAGATGATCAGGATGATTCCCAGGATCCAATGGATTTTAATGACAATGAGGACATGGAAATGCATCTTGGAGCATTCCATAATTTAGAAGGCTTGGACTTTGAAATGTCTGATTTAATGAACATTAATCAAATTAATCATGGCAAAAAGAAGAAATAATTAATGGATCTTTCCAGTCTTAATTGAAGAATGTGTCATCCGTAATGTATCTCCTTTGAAGATCAAGCAGAAGAATAATTGCTCTAGCAACACCAACAGCCACATCTAAGTCTTCTATGAATGAATTGCTAGCATGAATATCCCTCCATCTAGCTTTTAGTTGCTGCTACCAGAGAGGGACCCCCTACATATTTTCCAATTCCCTCTCAACAGCAGGGGTACCAATCGACATCTTTCTTTTCTTGTAACATGTTTTCTCCAAACAAGTTCAATTATAGAAGTAGAGTCATCAACATAGTCCTTAGGCTCTTGTAGCTCAACTTACTCAAGGGAAGGTACAATAACTATTTTTTTGGGGATTTCTCCCAGAATTGTTAAAATAGGGGTGAGCTCGGAGCCCAAAGTTTCAACAAAAGAATTCAAAATTGGAGTAGCCTCTGGTATTGCTCCAAAGCCCAAGGCTTCCCCAGGATTGGGGTTTAGGACCAAATCAATGAAATTGGTTGCAACCCTTCCTCTTCCCATTCCTTTTCTTCTGGGGCTTCTTAGGGGATTAGATGATGGTGCTTCCAAAGCTCGAGCAGCTCTGCACCCTTTAAGTAGTTGAGAGGTAATAGAAGGAACATTAGTATAGGAATGGTAAGTCAGCTCATACCCCAATAAGACGTGAGCAGCTCGACACCATATACTATTTGCCCTAAATAACTAGAACTTTCTTAGATCATCAAAGTTCACCTTGGATTCAAGAACTTTTCGCTTAAAAGTTTCTCTTACAAAAAGATCTAGACATTAGAGGAAGCAAGAATCAAACGAAAAAATAGAAGCTAAAAGCAAAACAGGATAGGGCCCCGATGAAAATCACCCGGGATAGCCTCTTAATACAGACAATTGTAGCGAGGTTCCTCGCCTACTCGATGTTCCTAGTTACCAAATATAAACATGACATCATTTTTATAGCCCTTATTTGAATCAAGAAGATGAGTGACTAAGTAAAAATTTGTTCTCCTAACCCTAAGGTAGTAGTTCTTTTTTGAAGTGGTTGTAATGAGATAGCAATATTCCAAAGGCTCAGATTGGTTCCTAGAATGTCATTCAAAGCCACGACCCCTATTACTATTTGGAAAAAATTGGAACAACATTGAATTGGGTAAATCTTCAATGCATGAAGCACCCATAGAAAAAAAGGGTGGAGTTGAAACTGAGCCCCACCCTTCATAATGGTCCTAGTGGGGATGGGAATTGATTTCCTAGAAGCAATTATGGGTTTATTTTTTGTGATCCTAATGACTACATCATCTGGAATAGAATATCTAGACCTGAAATCTGGAATTTTCTCTTCCCTTATGGAGCCATAAAGAAAAAAAAAAGAATATCGGAAGGGATTGAAGCAAAGAAGAAGAACAAGAAATGACTTAGAAATTCAGAAGAGTGGAGTACCTAAAGGTTTCAAAAATTATGGTGAAAATGTAAAAGTGAAGAAGAAGACGCTTTAATTAAAAGCGAAGATGACTTATTAATACGAATGACTGTTAAACTATTGAAAGGACACAAGAAATGGCCTTTTGAAGGGATTGATGCAAAGCCATTAATGAAAAAAATATGATTACAAATAGGGAATGCTTCCCCCGTGTGCCACGTGGAGAACATTCTCTGGGGGCTAGTGAAGAGAGTCAGAACTTTTGACCTATGATATGACAACCATACTAAGTCAAGTGACAGAGTTACGTCCTTGAAACAATTAAATAGATCACTCATGACCGAACTCAATTAATTATGCTTAGTCAAACATGATAAGCTCGACAGAGGCTCGGTACAATGTGCAAAGAGAAAAAGACCTAGTAAAGGCTATAGTTCGAGTGAGGAGCAAGCCTGATCTGAAAAGGCAGATAATTCATTGAGCTGGCATCAGGAACATATTGGTGATCAAGTTATCCCTCAGAAATAGTATAAGACAATCAATCAAGGGATTGCCTAAATTAGAGGAGCACATTGGAAACACGTGATCTAAAAAGACGACAAATAAGAAAAAAAGCTAGGAGAGGACCCAACAAATTAATTCGACTAACCTATAGGTGTGTCACCTACTATAGCTAATGGTGAAAACCCTAATAGAAAAGGTGTCATGAGATACTACAAAAACTGAGTAATACTTAAGTCTAATCCCCTGTTTGGTTGGAGGGAAAATAGGGAGGATGAAAAATGGAGGAAGGGAAGTGGGAGGGAAGGAAAATCTTTCCACTGTTTGGTATGGAGGAAAAATGGGAGGGAATGGAAAATGGAAGGGAAATGCATTCCCTTATGGTCTGTTTGTTTTTATGGAAAATGGGGTGGATGGAAAATGGGATGGATGGAAAAACTTTCCATTGTTTGGTATGGAATGAAAGAGTGATGGAAAGGAAAATTGGAGGGAAGGCTTTTCCTTCCCACCCACAATTTATTTTTCCCCCAAAAATGGGTGGAAAAGGAGAACAAGACAACAAAATTTGACCTTTAAATGATAATTTTACTATTTTACCCTTTGTTACCTTCTAATAAAACCCACTTCTAAATACATCAAACAAAACCCACTTCTTCTCCATGGCCAATGACAAACCCTTCTCAGACAACAGCAACCAGATGACGAACTCGATCAATGAAACCAACGATTTTCGGACTGGATTTTTGGCTACTTCAGACCAAAGTTGTCATCCTCCGGCAGGTTTGGTATGTTCCTTTTTTCATTTAACTTTATCCTGTAACTGTAAGACTAAGAATGTTTTCTTTCATCAAGGCCTCTTTTGGACTTGTGATATATATATGTGAAACATATTGGCTTATACAAGATGAAATTATACATATGGGTGTATATATGTGGGTATGTTTATATGCGTATTTGGATATGTAGGTCTTTCAAATGGGTTTTGTATCTCTTAAAGAAATTAACAAAAAAAAAATTTAAGAAATGAAATCAGGTAGAAGAAGATGAAAGAAGAATTTTAGGGCAAAAAAAAAAAAAGAAGAAGAAGAAGAGCATAACTTGAGCGTCAGATTGAAGAAGATGAAGTTGTTGGCTTAAATTCAGAATCTCCCCCCTTTAGTTTTAGATACAACACATACCTACTCAGTGAAATTATAAAGTTAAGTCCAAGGTTTTGTTAAGTTACAAAAAAACCATTTTTTGTGTTTCATGAGTAACAGATAAAAATCTGTTGAAATTACACAATGACCCCAGAAGATAATAAAACACTAAATCAGTATTTTTAATAGTTAAAAAATGTTTTTGAAATTGTATATTGACCCCAAATAGTTATGAGATTGTTTTAGAGATTATAAAATTACACCATATCGCTAGATAATGTGTTTAGAAATTATCTAAAGACCATGAAAGTTTCTAAAACTCAAAATACAGAGGTTATCATAAATTGTTAGCTCTTTTGGAGTATATTCCTAGACGATATATATATTCTTGGTCTTCCATTTATATACCTTTTGTACCCTTTTAGTACAAATGAAGATGGAATATCAACCAAGCATTTTGGAAGAAAAATTGTATTTACATTTATTACCAAACCTGAGAGAAAACATTTAAGGCAGCTAAAAGACATTTCTGTCTCACAGTCCCTTAATGTTATTAACAGAAAAATTAAACAAGTGGAATTTCTTAAACAAGAGATTAACTACCTCAGAACTAAAGAAAACCTAACCAATCCAATCTTACAACAAAAGATCGATAGGTTTAGGGAAAACATGGAGTCAGAAGTTTGTTCCTCTCTTCCTACAGCATTCTGGCATAGGAAGAAGCACATGGTCAGACTTCCTTATATTAAAGGATTTAGTGAAGACAATATCCCTACTAAATCCAGACCGATCCAAATGAATCATGAAACTACTGAGATCTGTAAAAAAGAAATCTCAGAGTTATTAAAAAATGGTATCATTAGGAATAGCAAGTCACCTTGGTCTTGTCCTGCTTNATAATCGAATTTATTATGAAAAGATTCTATATGAAACCAAATCAATCAAAGTCGCTCATAATGTTCTCAATGAAGATCATTGTACTGGTTACGATAAAGTAAGAATTATGTGTGTCATACACGCTTCTGATTAGGGAACAAACCCCATCAATTTCTGAAATTTGAAAACCAAACATGGACTAGGAGAAGAATATAATTATTGGGATTATATGGATGCATGGGAGAATGCATTCCTTTATCAAAATACAATCAGAAAACNCAGGATTTATAGGACAACTTGAAGGTTGGTGGGATAATTGTTTATATTCATCTCAGCAACAAGAAATTATAAATTCAACAAAAATTGTTTCAATTTAGGATGAACAAATTGTTTCAAACAAGAATATGTCTTGAATGCAGTTTAGACACTGGTCCAATCAATAATTATGCATTTTATTGGAAGTAATATTCAAAATACCGATAAAAGTAAAGAACTCCTCATGGATCTTAGGTTTCCTACACTTACTCATTTTAAGTGGTATAAGGGCATCTATCTCTCCAAAGTCATGATGAGATATGATGCTAATAGTAACTTTTGAAAAGAAAAATTCATTTCAAGTCTTCCTTATTTGTTTGCGGACAAAGTGAGAATAAGATTTAGAAATAAAAATGGAGGAATGATTATTCCTTGGAATTAATACACCTATGGTGAATTAGTCAGCGAATGCAACAATGAAGGTTTGACTTTATACAATGATCTTAACCTTAAAATCCAACTTAAAAGACAACACGTAATAAGAAGAAAAAAGTTAAGTGAATTTTGTGATAATTTTCTTATCATCTTGATCCAAGTCCTTATACAAAAATTAAGTCTAGAAAGATTAAAAAAATACTCCAAATTTAGTAGGAGAAAGAAAAAGAGAAATTATGCGGACAATGTTTATTTTTATATAAAGAAAATCTTTTCAAAAGAAGGCAGAACAAAACTATTATAAGGCTATTCTTGACACGAATGGATTAAGCATAAATGTTCTTTCAAAAAATCAATCATTGATTTTTGATCTAATTGATCAAATTACAGATCCAAAAGCTAAAAGACAAGTTATTGAAAAATATTTAGAAATTTCTAAAGAGAAACAATCAAAAAGAAAATTTGAAAAGTATTCTTTGATTAAACCATTTTCTTTACAAGAGATTTTAAATCAATTTAATTTTGTATCTTCTTCAAAGAAAGAGACCACAATTAATGATCGTAAGTACGAGATCAATCAATTAAAATCTGAAACTAGAGATCTTAAAAGAAGAATATCTTCTCTTGAGAATTCTGCACAATCTCAAACTGAAGATCCATAAATTTCAGGAGAATTTTTCATGACCAAATTACATACCAAAAATGGCATATTGAAATTACATTGGTAATCAACCAAGAATATGTTATCAAAACTATTGCACTACTTGATAGTAANTTTCATGGCCAAATTACATACCAAAAATGGCATATTGAAATTACATTGGTAATCAACCAAGAATATGTTATCAAAACTATTGCACTAATTGATAGTAATGCTTATATGCATTGCATTAAAGAAGGATTGATTCTTACTCAATATTTTTGAAAAAACTACTCAAACTTGGAATACTGGTGATAGTTCAAAAATGAACATCAGATATAAAT